TGTAGCAGGTCAGTGCTGCAAACCACAACTGCAGGCCACAGAGGACCAGAATGGGCTAATAAGCAGGGGTGAGGTGTGAACAGCTCTGGTTTTAGGAGCCAGAGTGAGCCAGCAGCCTCCTGCAGACAGGAAGGACAAACTCCCCAGCAGGAGGTGTATGAGGGACAGCTTCAGGAACCCAGGTTAGCAGGCAATGGGCAGGCTTAGCATGGGGCAGTGGGGCTGGGAGAAGGCAGGACCATCCCAGGCTCTTCTGCTAGCTCTGCCCAGAAAGACCCCAGTGGAACTAGGGTGCAATCAGAGGCTGAGGGGCACATAGCTGGTGGCCTAGGGTGCCAAGAAAATGCATCCTCACACAATGAATTCCGTGGCACCCAGGGATGGTGAGGAGGGAGCTGCCAGCATGCGCAGGAGGAACCTGCAGACTCTGCCAGGGGTGGGGAGAGATCCAGGAGTGGGGACTTAGCTCAAGGGGAAGGACAGATGCCCAGAGTGCCTTGGGCTGCTGGCCTGTCAAGCCTTTGGCTAAGAATTAGCTTTTTCCTTTCAAAGAGGGTGGAAGTCACTGTTTTCTTGTCTCCGTTGATGAACAGATTCTGGGTGGCAGGAGTCACCATAGAAACAGGTGCTATCTTAAGCAAATGAGCCTTATTAACCTTAAGAGTGGTGGAGTTTTCACAAGATTGCACATATAGGGTAGGAGGGAGAGCAGGGCTGGTGGGGGGAGAGCCAGGGTGGCTGGGAACCATGCTGCCGTGGCTCTGGGTGTGGAGGCATTTGTGTGGTGTGTGTGTGTGTGTGTGTGTGTGTGTGTGTGTGTATGTGTGTGCGCACTGCATGTGCATGGGTGCCCATGTGCATGTGCTTCTGCAAAGCTGTTTCCCAGGAGGTAAGCTCAGTTTCTGCCTTTGCCCTAAGAACTGCGCACTTCCCTACCCACCCAAAGAGACCTCCATCTCAAGGTTGCAGGGCCAAGAGCCTCATAGAAACCCTCAACTCTTCCTCCCTCCACTGTCCCCATCCCCCCGTGGGTGCCCTCTTGTCTGTTGTACATCATGAGCAGGTTCCTCCCAGAAGATCCAGGCAGCCAGGAAGCAGGGACCTCATTGACCCAGAAGGCAACGCAGTACCACAGAAGGAGCAGGATACTGATACCAGGTGGACCTGATCAGTTAGGACTCTTCATGAACCCCCAACCTGCCATAAGCAAGGATACTATGTACCTCACTGAACTGATTGGAGACTCCTGCGTGAGATCATGATCAATGAGACCAACAAGAACATGCACATTGATATGAAGTATGTCCCTCAATTGCCACCTGCCTATGACCTGCCTCCTTTCTGGGCTGAAGAAGTTGCACTCATCTTAGGCACAGGGTTAATCTTTCTGCAGTGTGATCTTGTGGTCAGCAATTTCCACTCAGCACCTGCCATGTGTTCTGCACTCTGTTGGGTCTTAGCAGGGCATAGAGGAAGGTCAGAATGAAGAGCCTGCCCCAAGTGGACCAGGAGGGCACGGAACAGGCTTTGAATATGGCTGTGTGTGGGGCTTTGAAGATAGGTAGGATTGGGATGGGCAGGAGGAGAGTGACAAGAAAGAGGAGTGTGTTCATCTCTGAAAGCAAAAGCAGCCAACTTCCAGACTGTTCCTAGGTTATAAATAATCAATCAGTATCTTCCCTAGGATCCAGGGCTCTGCAGGTGGCTCCAGGAAGCTCATCTGCTGCCCCTCCTCAGGCAGGACACTCTGCTCTGGCCAACTCTCATCCAGGGGATAAAAGTGACTGTCATCCCAGAGCCTTTCTGTTCTGTGTCCCCGGTTGTCTGAGGGGCAGTTTCCCCAGGGAGACAGGCTACAGCCATCCTGCCCAGGGACTATGTGCCTGGGAGGGCTTCATGAGGGGGATTTTCTGTTCCTTTGACAATAAGAGTAAAAGGTCCCACAAATGCCCATAGCTGGGACAGGGCTGCCAGCACAGAAGCAGCCTCTCGCCTGCGTCAGAGTTGTCTAGAAGCCCAGAGCTGGAAGATTTGTCTTATCATACTCTGCATTTGATGGATAAAGACACTGAGACCCAAAGTCATGCAAGACACAGTGACATACCTCGGCTGTAATCACACTGCTATTTCTGCTCCCTGTCCCAACCTTGCTGAATGAGAGAAGCCACCATCCAACTGGAGGCTCCAGGGTGGTCCCTGTGTGATGTGGTCCCAGGCACAGGAAGCAACTTTCAAGGCCCACTGTCATGAAGAAGAAAGAGAAAGTTTGCTCTGGGTGCTCTATTCCCATCTCTTATCTCTGTCTCTTCCAAAATCAAAATCTGCTATTTTGTGAGCCTCACCTGGCCCCTGTTGAGAACCACAGTTTTAGAGATGCTAGAGAAATTTTCCCATCTACCTATCCCCAGGTCCCATGTTATCTCCCCTATAGGTTTTAGAGGTGTCTAAATTTCCTTAATAGCAGAAAGCTGTGGAAGGGCTGGCTGAAAAGGTCACTTACAAGCTTGGGGGTGGGGATCATAGTGATCTTGAGTGATCTGGGGGTGATGGCTGGACTCAGAGGAGAGCAGGGCAGGGGGCCCATGAGGCCCTTGGAAGACTCAAAGGAAAGAGAGCAACCACACCCAAGCTCATCTATCTACATATCTATCGTCTATCAGCTCCTTCCTCTTTACCAGTGGCCTCTAATGTTTGGTTGGTTGGTTGGTTGGTTGGTTGGCTGGTTGGTTGGCTGGCTGGCTGGCTGGCTGGTTGGGTTTTTTCGGGGGGGGGGTTGTTGTTGTTGTTGTTTTTTGAGATACATTCTCACTATGTAATTCAAACTGATCTTGAACTCAACTATGTACCCCAGGCTGACCTTGAACTTGCAGTGATTCTCCTGTCTCAGCCTCCCAAGTACTGGGATAACAGGCAAGCGCTGCCATACCTGGCTATGCCCCAGAGCAATGTCTGCTCCAATTCCTAGTGTTTCCATGATGCCTAGGCTTGCATTTGAGTAATGACATGGAAAGATACATGCCTTTGAAAGAAGTTCCAAGAGAAAGAGCCCTGGCAGCTCCAAGGTGGGCCAGGAAGCAGACGAGTGAGCCAAGATAGTAGCCCAGAGCCTTTACTGTGCTATCCAAGGGAAGGAACCACCAGGCAGTATAAGCAAGTCTGAGCGAGCTTACAGTGCCAGTTGGCATGGTGTCCATGGGCTCCAGGCTGTCACCGGCTGCCTGTCCCGTCCCGGGGGTGGCTTAGAGCAGCAGGAACACTGGCTCAGTGCATAGAATTAGGCGAGGGCATTTGGGGAACAGCTCTCAGTGGGCTGTATGTCTACAGTGGCGCTCAGCTTGCATCTCTAGGAATCAGCGAGCCCTAAAGGGCATCTCTCTCCTGAGGAAGTGAAGCCCCAAGGTGTCAAAGCATCATAAAATAGAGAAAATAAAACATGATTACTATGCCTAGCACCCTCTCTCTCTGGATACTGCTCTTTTTCTTTTTTAATTGTGCTTAAACTCTAAATTCTGTCCCTTCACTGGCCGTCCACTTAACACTTGGTCTGTGCCACATAATTTAGCACCTGATTGCATGCTCTCATTTCCTCGTCCTCCCAGGGCACTTGCCCCAGTTTCCCACTCCCTCGGGAAGGCTGGGCTCACCTCCCTCCTGCGCTGGCAGGGATTTGGCACTGTACCCAGAGCGCCATGGTGGTTCTCAGCGTCAGCCCTCCCTGGTCACCACCCAGCCAGCCTACTCACTCTGATCCCCTCCCCTTTCACATCTTCTGCTCCTTCACACTGCCTCAGGGCACTGTGCTGCCCCTCCCACCAGCAATGGAGAGACTCTTCCCCCAGTCCTGACCTCTGGGACCCGCACGGCTTCCTCACAGCCTCTGCCATCTGACCACTACTGCTGCTCAGCGGCAGCCTCACCCTCCTACCACCAAACCTCTCCCTTCTTTCCCGCCTTTCCTAGTTTCCAAACTCTGCTTCACAGCCAACCTGTAGCCTTCAGAGTTACACCAAACTCATCTACCATGAGTTGGCTGACTTGGAGGCTAAGTATTCCTCTGTCGACCTCAGTGTCCTGCTAGGTAAGCTGAGGAATCGGCTACAAGGTCACTTAGGCCCTTTCAGGCTGTGCCCTCTGGGGTGCTAACATTCTGTCTTGTGATGTTTCCTGTCTGTGGCAAGAATGTCCCCTAAGGCAACAGGGCTATTGTGGTCAGGGTGTGCTCGCCCCAGAAAGGACACAGACTCCTGGAGGGAACCTCTCATCTCCTTACTGGGGGCCACACCACTGATGGTTAGAATGATCTGTTCAACTCAGCTCTCTGCTGGGCATTGGGTGAGGAGGGGTGCTATGGAAGGCTGGGGCTGTACACAAATGTACACACACATATGCACATATGCACATGCACACACAGACACACACAAACCATTTGAAAATTGCCAAAGGAACCATATGAATCTATATGCTCAAGAACCTGATTTTCATACCAACTTTCACTGTTTCTCTGCTGGGTTTTCATTTCGATTTGACTGCACTGGGGGTGGAGCCCAGGGTCTTGCACATGCTAGGCAAGGTCTGCCACTGAGCTACACCCCAGGCTCTGAGTCACCGCTTTTAATCCCTCTTGGCATCTGCCAGCATTGGAAGCCTCACAATGGAAGACATCCCTAAGCACTGACTTTATGTGCCTCAGGGCAGAGCATTGGGGTTCACTTCATTGTCCTCTTGACCTTAGGCATGATCTGAAATTTCCACGTTTCAGCATGCAAACAGCGCCTCTTAAAATATCCTTGATACTTAGTACGTGCGTGTGTGCACATATGCACATGCACACACACACACACACACAGTCTCATCAATGTATGTGTTGATTTTTGGCTCAGAAAATATGGTAAATTCATTTATATTTTACACTAATAAGGGATAATATTGAATATATATGATACAAAGGCAAGTCAAATTAATTTATATCTTGCTGATACAAAAGGAATTTTTACTAGAGCTTGATAAAATAATCTTTATTGAAATTTAAGATGATTCCACCCTGTGGGGGGCATACAAAGAATATTCAAGAAAGTTTTGCAAAAGAAGATTAACAAGGATAATGGGTCAGACAGAGCATGTCTACTTCTAGATATTAATACACATTGTAAAAGTACAATAATTTAAAAATATGGTAGTAGTGAAAAACACACAGACATATTGACACATAAAAGAAAGATCTGAAACAGATTAAAATACTCAGATATGATAAAGGGTTCATTTCAAAACAGAAGGGATTGATTATGCCACAAGCAGCTTGGGAATGATTGGCTATCCATGTGGGATGGGAAAAAGATACTCAAGTTCTTTCTCCTATGATAAAATAAATTCTAAGTGGGTTACATAATTAATTCTTAGTTTTTAATGTTAAATTAAATGTTAAAATTAAGCCATTAAAGAATTAAAAATACATGAACATTTCTCAAATCTTAATATAAGAAGAGACCATTTTATACATGGATGCAAAGTAAAATAAATGATCCATCTAACCTCATAAAACCTTCAAACTTCTATAAATAAAAGCATCCAAAGATAAAACATATTGAACACATTGAAAAAAGTCATATATATATATGAATATGTATCATAATGTGTATATCTCACAAAAGGTCCCTTGCCCCTGACATATAAGCACTGATGAATCAGTAAGATGACAATTGTGTATACCTCATAGGATTCTTGAAGAAGTAAAAGAAATTAAGCAATACATGGAGGACTGATGGCAGCACCTGGAAAATAGTAGGCTCTCCATAAATGTTAACCACTACTAACTCATTTCTTAATCGATAGAAAAAATTTTAAATGGCCAAAAGACATCAATAGGACTTTTTTACTGCTAGGGTTCAAACTTCAGGCTTGGTAAATGTTAGGCACATGCTTTAACACCAAGCTACAACGCTAGCCTAAGGAGTTCTTTAAAAAGAAATGTAACACAAAATCATGAAAAATGAACAGGTGTGATGGTAGCCAATAATCCTAACTACTGAGGCTGAGATAAGACAATCACAAGTTCAATGGCAACCTGAGACCTTAATGAGAAAATAAGAAAAAAGAACTGAGGTTGTAACCAAGTGCTCCCTGGTTTCAATCCCCAATATCAAAAAAAAAAAAAAAAAAAAAAGCCAGAAAAGAAAAAAAAATGCTAGTAGTCAATAGTCAGAAATACAAACAGATGCAACAAACCATCTATCTCTCCTTACATCAACTGTGACCAACAAATTGAATTTAGTTTTGTTTAAAAAAAAAATAACATCCAGAGTCTTCTCATAGAGTGCTGGTGGGAATTGTTGAGAACTCTTTTGCAGGGTTACTTGGATGCAAATATCAAATGTCAATGCCTTTAAAATGTATTTAATCTTCAATCCAACAATCTCCTTCTAGAAATTTATATTCAGAAATGATATCTACCAAATTAAGATAGGACCTACCAGGTGCTCTATTACTAAGTAAAGGATAAAGATTGGCAGCAACATTTTACCCACAATGCTATGTGTCTGTGTGTAGTTTAAGGTGAGCAATGCACAAAAAGCAATTAGACCTGACCTGTTCATCCAGAGGGAAAGGACCACCAACTAAGTGATGGATATGAAATAATATGTGGCCATTAAAGCAAATGAAGATAAATATTAGTGCCTTTGTTACATTAAAAGCAAGTTAAAAATAAATGGAGAATAACCCATTTTGGGTGCATGGAAATCATATGTACCAGAACGTTCCTAGTAGTCAAATCTAGGTAGTTGTGGTAGAATTACAAGTGATTTTTATGCTTGTGTTTGGGCTTGACTAGTTTTTTCAAATTTTCTGTAATATTTATTTTTATCATCAGACTTTAAAGTGCTATTTAAAAAATTAAATTATAGGACAAGAAAATTTGGTCGTCCCAGGTATAGGGGATTAGAGAGACTTAGGTAAAGTCCCTTCCCCCCAAAGAGTCTGTGGTTTCTTTAGGGAGCAGCTAGGTGTCACCACCTAGCTGGGCACCACCTCACCACCAATCTCCCCAGAGCACCCTGAGCACACTTCTGTCACTTCTGTCACTCTAAATTACAAATGTGTTCACCGAGAGCCCCAAACAGGCAGAACCAGGTTCCTTCCTCCTTGCATCACTAGAAATTCTCTGTGTATTCTTCGAAAGAGCAACATACATTTAGAATAAAGGATGATCCCTAACAAAGTACAAATCATTTAAGTACCCATTGAATCACCCAGATGTTAGGATGAGCTCATAAGAGAAAAATGTTAGGCCTGCCTGGGATGAGCTGGGAAGGTTTCATGAAGGAGGAAGCCATTGAAAACCACATGGAAGTGTGCATAGGACATGACCAAGAACATGGGGTTAAGAGCTAAAAATGTCACCGAGGAGTGGTCCCGATGATCCCTGCCCCAGCATTCTCATCTCTAATGAGAAGCACCCAGAACTGTGCTACCAGGGCCAGGTCTCATAGCCCAGGGAGGTGACCTATAGCCAAGAAGCTAATGTCACTCTTCCTTGTCATCAGTTTGCCCAAAAGTCACCTCTCTACTGACACATCCAGTCAGCACACTGGACTGTCCGTACAGATTTCCTCACATTTGTTGGAAGCCTTTTATTAGGAAGCCAGTAGATTTAAATATCAATTCCCAAAAGCCATGGCTTTGCCCAAAACCTACTCATTACAATAATCAGGGCTTATGATGGAATTTAATGAATAGTAAGTGCTTATTAAATGTTTGTTGAATAAATTAAATATGATAACTTAAATATTGGCTTATAGGAGCCTACAGTACATTACACATACATGTGATGAATCTACACACACTTCTGTGGCTGCTTGTGAGTATGCAGCATGTGTTTGTACATCAGATATGTAGAAAACCCAAAAATGAATGTGCATGCTTGTGTATGCACACACACACACACACACACACACACACACTCACACAGCATTTGGGAAAATATCAAAAGGAGAAGCCCACAGCTTTCTCAGGAGTCAACTGCATCCTTTGAGAATAGAAGCCCAATAAAATAGAATTTGGATGGTGTCACAAATAAATTTGCCTTTCTAAAAGCTCCCAAATTAAAATTTGAGAGGCTTGAACATGAGGACAGGATGGCAATGAATAGATATGAATTTGCTTTATTTGTGCAGCTCAGAAATCCTCTCTGTACCATTTCAGGGTGGGGAAAGCAAGCGGAGGGGAGGTAAAGAAGCCACCCAGGCAGCACCGAGGCTACCTGTGACGCTACCTCCTGTCCTCATCTCTGGTCCTGAGGTTGTGTGGGAACCTGGGGACAATGCAGCATTCTGCTCTCCCCATCCCCACCCCAGCAACCGGTGCAGCTCTGTTTCCTCCAGGGGGGGGGGGCGCTTTAGGCTCCCGGTGCCTGTGAAGCACCCAGCTTCGTCGTCCATCCTCCTGGGCCCCCAGCCAAGCCAAGAGCACCAGCTGCCCCTCTTCCTCCTGCAGGAAGAAAGTCACCACTGTCATCTTGCTCTGGCTTCATAAGCCCTGGGGCTAATTGCGGGTCCCCGGCCTCAGATTCCCAGTGCCTCATGTTAAAGACTGTGTTTAAGGGTAATATAAACAGTTTGATCTTTAAAGAACCCTGGATGCATAATATCTATAGATAGTTCTGGAATTTTTATTCTGAAAACAATTAGCCAAAAAGCCCTTTTTATATGATATTTGCAACTACACTGACAGTAACAGCAATTAAACCCCGTCTGTTTGCTGAGAAAGGAGCCAACTCTCCACTTCTCCAGAAGCCTGTAAAATGTGCAAATTCGGAACTAGAGCACTAAGCCTTCAGAGGTAGCCACAAGACCTTTCAAGGTCAGGCCCCCACTTCAGTTTTTGTCGACTTGACCCCAATTGATCCCATCACCTTAACCAGTCACCTTAACCCCCAAGTATTCCCAGCATTTCCTGCCATTGCCGAGTCTTTACCAAGCTGGTTGCCTTCTCTGGTAGCTTCCGTTCTGTTCTCTGCACCCTCTCACCCATCTGTATTTCCAATGCCACCTCCATTTAGGATAGGGCTGGCTTCCATGCCTATCTCAGTCCTGAGGGGTGTCCTCTCCCCTGACCTCCTCCTATATCTGCCTCTCAAGAGGGGCTTCCACCTAACTGGGGGACGGTCAGCGCCATAGGTTTCTGTGCCCTATTGACCTGCAGCCTTCTTAAATGCAAAACTGTGTCCAGTTCTGTGCCTGCATGGATGGTGAACACATCAATGATGGATGAATGGGTGAATGAATGAATGCTTCAGCAGCCAGCTCCTGCAAAGGCTGACAAAGGGAAGCTCATGGGTGCAGTACATGAAGACAGGTTTCTAGGCCTGAGAGTTGGACACAGGGATGTTGGGTAGAATTTAGAAGCCAATCATCCATTTAGTCTCACACACAGTTTTCACCATGAACGCAGTTTCCTCTGATTGAATGCTTTCTTCAGCCTCCTCTGCATGCTTTCCTGAGTGGGGAAAGGTTTCCCAGCTTTTAATTTTGATCTACTTTTTGCATTCATTCAACACATGTGTTGTTGTTGTTGTTGTTTGGGTTGTTTGTTTGCTTCTTTGTTTGTCTGAGACAGGGTCTCACTATGAAGTCCAAACTCACTCTCGGCAATCCTGCTTCTGCTTCCCCAGTGCTAGAATTATAGCAATCCACTGCCACACCCAGCCTTCAAGTATTTTTTTTTGAATGCTTGATATGCTCCAGGAGCTATGGAAACTTCCATGAATGCAACACCCCTACCCCCACAGCCTACTCTAAAAGAGGATGACGCACCACAGTAAAAGTAATAAGAAGTAAGCCATCCAGTAGATCAGAAGGCGTGCGGCATACTGGAAGAGGAGTGTGTGGTGAGGTGAGATGCAGACTGAGGATCGGAACTGTGGCCAGGGAGTGGCTTGCTGAGAGCTGACTTTGGTCTGAATACTTGCTGGTGATGAAAGAGTGAAGCTCAAACAAAAGAGGGCCCCAGAGAGGGGGACCAAGCAGTGCAGAAGGCCTGAGGCAAGTGTGGGCCTGGGTGTCCAAGGAGAGCCCAGGAACTCCCTATAGCTGCAGAAGAGCAAGTGCAGAGGACCGGGGCAGGTGGGTGGAGCCACAGCCCTACCAGTGAGCAGAGGAGGGGCATGTTAAGGTCGGGGTCTTAGCCGAATCCCTGAGGCTGCTTGGAGTGATGGGTAGCAACAGGAAGCTCTGTTAGGATCCACTGCAGCAGTCCAGGCAGAAAGGGAAGTCCAAGCTGGATCTACTCATGCCTAAGAAAGTGTGTGACGGCTCCAGCATTGCTATGGAGCATATGCAGGGGCACCAAGCTCAGTGAAAAGGAGGTGCTCCCTTCGTGTTGGGGAGTTAGCATGTTGGGGAGTTAGCAGGCCCAATGGAAGAGAGGAGCCTTGTTGTAAGGAAGGAGAGTTAAGTTACAAGGGCCTGACAAGGTCAGGGAACTGGGGAAATCAGTAAAACCCAGCTCAGGGTCACCTAGATTTCCCTGTGGGGCATGGATCAGCTCCAACACTTAGAGAGGTCACCCCAGAACTCTGAATGGGGTGGGGTACGGTCCTGTTGCCCTCCAGTGGTTCTGAGCTACACAATATCCAGGGGCTGGAGGAATGCAGGAGGCCCCAGTCCCAGCCCTGGGAGCTTCAGAGTCACCATGTACATAGTAGCCTTGCTGTTCCTAGAGGGGTGACAATGAGTTGGCATAAGCTGGAAATTAAGAGACCATGGCCCCAGGCCTGATGACAAGCCCATCCTGATTAACAGCTGTCCAAGACTTCCCACCAAGCTTGAATTCCTTTAGCTGAAAAGCTGAGGAGGTCAGGCCCTCACATCCAAGGTGATTTCCACTTCTAAAATTCCGCACTTGCACAATCTCATCTCTTCCTTGACTCACTGACAGCCTGTTTTTTATCCTAACGACTTGGAATTCACGTGCACACACTTGGTGTGGAACGCTTGTCTTTCTGTTGCATTTTCTAGTTACATTATTCCAGATAATACTCCTCTTACTTGCCAAGAGAAGGGGGAAAAATGACATTAATTAAAGATTTGGTCTGTGTCCTAATCAAAAATTTTGAAAATGAATGTATCATACTGTATGTTCTGTAATGTAGTCTGCTTTTTTACTTAGCAATATATCATTAACATTTTCCCATGTCAACACATAATCTTCCAAACCATGATTTGTACTGCAGAAGTAGTTTACCATATGGATGTACTATAATTTACTCAGCCAATCCTTTACTGTTGGACATTAGGTTGTGTCTGCATTTCTGATATATATTGTCACCAGCTACAATGAATCAAGTTGTGAATACACAGCTATTCATTCATTCCCTTCTGGGGTGACTTTCTTAGGATAAACCCTCAGAGGTTAAAGGTTTTGCATCTCCAAAATCTTCTTGGTCCATGTTACTAAAATGCCATTCAGAATTTAGAAATTTCTATCCATTTAGAATCCTAGCAATAGCTTGTGAATAGTGATCAGGACATCTTATCTCGGGGCTAAAGAAAGACAAAACAAGGCGGTGGCCCATTCTCTTTCCCTTGTATAGGTGGGGAAACTGAGGCTGGGCTTGGGACTACATATTTGTCTTGGGCACTCCCCACAAGCCCAAGATCAAGAGACCCTGTTAGTGTCCCATCACCTCCCTGCCTGCCCACTGTGGGCCCACAACTGTAACTGTAACTCAGGCCACTGAAACCTCAGTTCTGCCCAGCACCCTGCCCCTCACCCGCTGCCCCTTGCAGCCCTCCCATCTCTGAGAGCAGGCTTCCCTGGCCACTTCTGCCCCCACACTTCCCATCACTTTTCCCTATTCACACTCCTCCTCCTGTGCCACCTCTGATGGCACCCAGCAGCTCTCACCCCATGGGCAGCTCAGTGATCAAGAAGAAATGCCCTGCATCCAAATCCTCGCCTCCCTCCTCTCAGGGTTTTCCTCCCAAGCCGATGCCAGGCGTCCTCACTCACCTTCCCAGGCACCTTCTTGCTACCTGATTTTCCCTGCATGTTGCTGCTATTTATTTCCTTGCAGCGGTGCTTTCTCAGGATGAGCCTCTGTTCCCAAGGCTCCAGCCACACCCTCCTTCCCTCTGCCCACAGCCTGTCCCTGCACCCTCTGCAAGGTCACTTGCCATGTGTTAGGCACAAACTCATCAGCTCTTGCCTGTCCCAGCCCTCCCCTCCGCTCCTTGCCAGTGGACAGCATCCTTTAGGGGTAATCTGAGGGCACACAGAGCCCCCTCTGGGTAGGAAGCCACCCTAGCACATTCACCCCACTCCACCCCGTGGAGTGGAACCTAGTGTGGCAGTGCCCTTAGAAGTCACAGTACTTTACCTCTGTGATGCCCCAGTAGACTCAACGACTTGAGAGCAGAGGCCACATTCCATGGGCCTTGTCCCAAAGTGCATTTGCAGACTAAGTCGGGTGGTGAAGAAAAGCAAATGTCATCTCGTCTTTTTTCTTTGCCATCCTCTGCCAGCTGAGAATCTGTTCCAAGAGTTGCTTTGGACTGCAAGGGAAGGGCTTGGGTGTTATGAGATCAAGTAACCTGCCAGTCTGCTGCTATGCCTTCCTCTCTCCTATCTGCCAGTTTTTCAGACCTGACAAACAGCCCTCAGGCAAGGTTAGTTTGAGATGTTAAGACCTTTGGTGATTGTTGCCCTCTGCCTACTTGTGCAGTACAAACTCATGCTAACCTAACTGACAGCCTAAAACAGAGCCCCACTCTCCAGCTGCTCTCTGTCTCACTTTTTTCATTTTTATCGGTACCGGGGATCGAACTCATGACCGCCTGCTTGCAAGGCAGGTGCTTATGCCGCTGAGCTAAACCCCCAGCCCCCTCTCCAGCTGCTCTTAAATTCTGCCCTCTCCCTGCATGTGCAAATCCCACCTCCCCTCGAAGAGGCATTTGGGGCCTTCCCTGAGAGAACCACTCTTGATGCCATCTCTCCTGCCTAATCGCCAGGATCCCAATCAGAAGGACCAATCCTCTCCCCCATACCTAGTCCAGGGGTCTGTATGTACTCTGGTGAGTAACTTCAATCAGTCCACTCACTGAGGGTTTGACTGTTCAGAGAAAGACATTTTTCCTCTCTGTACCCTCAAGTTGCTCTAGCGAATCTTTGCAATCCATTAAGAAATGGGTTTTTGAAGCCTAGAAATAGTTCTAGCCCCTACCATGGGCATCTTCTGCACAGTGAGACAAACACATCTCAGAACACTGTCACATGTCAGAGCCCTCCCTGCCTGGATTACGAGTCCAGAACTCTCCAGAACACATGGATTAATTCTCTGTCTCTGTCTCTCTCTCAGGGAGACAATGGGTCAAATGAAATGGCAGGAGCAAGGCAAAGAGCAGGAAGTATTCTCTTTCTACTCTGCTGGGCACTTTGTAAATATCCATTTTCTCCCCTGAATTTGGCCTTTGCTCTACAAAATAATTGCAAACACTACTAGATGTACAAGGAAACCTGGTTCTGAGACATTAATACACTAATCCAGGGTCACACAGCTGGTAAGGAGCAGAGCTGAGATCTAAACCTAGCCTTACTGGTCTCTGACACCCCTGTCATCTCCAGAATCAGCTCCTGCCCCGTATTTCCTTCCTCTAATAATGGTTGCCTAGGACCTTCCTCCAAGCCAGACTTGCAGGACCTTTCCTGGAAGACATTGTTCCCATTTCTGAGGAGGAGGCAGGCTCAGGGAGGACCAGTAGCATCCCCATGTCACGCTGCTGCCAGGAGGCAGAGTTAGGCCCATCTGACCCTGATCACCCCTGCTGCCTGTGCCAGCTTAGTCTCAGTTCCCCCCTCCTCCCAATGAAGAGGAGCAGGATCTGTGGCTAGCGGACCTGTCCCAAACCAGCCCCCAGAGTAGTCACAGAGGTGTGGCCTTCTTCGAGAGCACACATTAGATAGAGGACACTCAGAATCTTGACATGGCCACAGCTACTGGACAGGAGAAGGCAAGGCAGACCCATTCTCTAAGGTCAGGCATCCTTGGTTGGGGACCACTACATACCAATGGCTACCTTTTTTCAATCAAAAAAGAGTGTTCAGGGCACCCCTGAATTTGCCTCTTGCTTGTATCCTCCCATCATTTAAAGAAAATGCAGAGGGGACCTTGCTGAGTGGGGCCACTGCTGCCCTGAGACTGGGCCTCAGTCAGTGCCAAGCTCTTCTCTCTGGGGTGGTGGGAGGAACTTCCAGGACACCAGGCTCCCCGGACACTAGGCCGGCCGCAGCCACTCACGCAATCCGTGTAGACGGGTGCCTTGAGGTCTAGGCTATGTCCCCAGCACCCCCAAAGGGTGCAGAGTCCCGGATGAGGCCCCAGGCATCTCCCAAGGCCCTCCCTCCGGCTCTCTGCCTTTCTCCGGTGGCAGAGGGTTATGTAACCCGGGAACGAGGGGAGCCTGGAGTTCTCCCCAAAGCCTCGGCGGCAGTGAATCAGTTTTTGCTGCCGTCATTTTCTCAGCAGGAATCTGCTTTATGCAGATTGGATTTAGGGGCTTTTCCTGGATGCTTCTGTTTCATTTAACATGCAAGGGCTAATAACTTGTCACAATTCAATAAGGCGGTGGTTACAAACACCCGGGCGGCTGCTTATTTAAATGCAGGTTTGTTAATTAGCTTCTCTTAACAAGGCTTGCGCTAAATCAGGCTCCCGGCTGGCAGCACCCAAGCCTGGCACCTCGTCCTCTCCCCGGATGGGATGGGAGGTCACATGTAGTCACTGGCAATAGGGTCAGAATTCAAGGCAAGACAGCTTGTACCAGCCATCCCACTGCCTCAGTTTCCCTAAAGTCAGCATTCAGTGACAAATTTTAAAAACAACTACAAGGAAAACACACTCTGTCTCTTCCTGCCTGCCCAGCCCTTTTTCCTGCCTTTGATTCCTGAGTCCAACCTCCTTTCCAAGGGCGTGGTTTTGTTTATTGTGGTTTTTCTTTCCTATCCCCTTTTCTTCCACTAACACTTTGGCCTCCCGACATCCTTGTCCACTCACATATCACCATGTGCTCAGTTTGGGTGGCAAGGGTGCCAGGAACAGGGACAGAAGACAGCCAGCACATAGCCTTGCAGACACTATCCACGTAGTCCTTATGACCACTAGAGCTGGATATCCGCAACCTCCTTCTACCCATGAAGAAGCAGAGTCTGGAGAGGTTATATAACTTGCTCAAGGCTGGGACAGGGACCTGGAGAGTCTTTCTGGGTTTTTCCTCCAGGTCTGACTCTGAGGCCTGTGATCTGCCCACTCCTGGTAGACAAGAGACACTGAGAAATAAGTATGTGTCAGGTGGCATTGTTCGTTACTGCTGGCCTGACACTTACAGCGCTGAGGTCTTGCTGAGAACACTGACTGCGATCCTGTTTGGATCACTGGCCATTAGCCACAAGAAAGCTGTGGAAAGCCCCAAGAAACTATCGGCAGCTGCTCTTGTTGGGCCTTGTGTGACTCCCAAGAGGGTAGCCCCAAGCACTGACACTGGGGAGGAATCCCAGCGTTGAGTCAGAGGCAAAGGGAGCCGCCCACACAGAAATCACAGGACCCATGCATCCGTTGACACCCGCTGCCCCAAGTGGATAGCCACACCATGTTTGTCAGCAGCAAAGCTGCACAGAACATATACCCAGGTAGTGCCAAGGAAGAACTCAGAAAGGACCAAAATAGAAAGGGACAATGAGGCTAGAATGGAGGAGGCTGAGGCAGGAGGATGGTTGCAAGTTCGAGTCTAGCCTGGGCTACAAAGTGAGCTCAAGGATGTCCTGAACTGCATAGAGAGACCCTGTCTCCAAAAAAAAAAAAAAAAAAAAAAAAAAAAAGGAAGAAAGAGAAAGAAAAAAGAGAGAGAGAGAACCCTGAGCAATGCCAGGTTGCCCGAACCCTTCCCCCAGAGGGTTTCTCACACCTGGCACTGCCCTTCTTGCAGAAGCAGGTCCCTACTCAGGGCCCTCCAGCTGAGATGGCAGGCAGGGTTGCTAGTAACTGAAACCTCCTGGGGTTGGCACTTCCTGTTATGGGTCTGGGCAGGTAAGTAGGGGGAGGGGCCCTGAAGGTCTTCCCTGTGACCCAGCAAAAGCAAACACCAGGAGTTCTGGGAGGGTGTTTGTGAGGCTACCAGCATGGACACTAACCTCCAAGTAGGATGTGTGCACAGACTTTCATTCTCAGATCAGCCTCCAACGAGAGGGTCCGTAACCTTACAGAGCAGCAGGGCCCAACCTTTTTGGTACCAGGGACAAGCTGGAAGACAGTTTTCCACAGATAAAGTGTCAGAGTGGGGAGGAGGGGGGATTAGTTTCTTTTATTAGTAGTGTCATGCTAGCATCACCACCTCAGCTCCACCTCAGATCACCAATCAGAAGGAGCAGCCAAACTAGATCTCTGCACACACAGTTGAATTGGACCAGAGACCCAAACTGGACAAAAGGTGTTGGGCTGCTACCTGGAGACAGACACATGTAAATACACAAAAGGGGTGCAGTGCTTTGGTTACTGGCCATCCACCCACCCCTTGAAGCCTGTTCAGGAGTCCTCAGTTAAGAATTCCTGCTTGAAGAAGGCATGTGCTCCTCTGAGGCCACTGCAAGAGGCTTTCTGTATAGGGGTCCTGGCCAGTGTCTGAAATTTGCAGTTCTCTGAAACTCCCTGCTGGGTGGCCCAGAGGCATGGGTCTAGGTCCTGATGGCTTTTCAAGGACTTGCATAATGCTTAGCACATAGTAGGTGTTCCACAAACATGTGTTGAAAGAAGGAAATGTTCTATATGTTCTGTGATTTTGTACTACTCTATTTTTTATAGTTCACACAAATGATCTTAAATCATACTCCTGAGTCCACGGGTCAAGCCTCTCATGTCATTAAGATCACAGGATTTTTAAAGGGAGATCTGTTGGGGGAACATGGAGTCTAGCCTTTCACATCCTCTGCCCAGGGTTTGTGGCATCCACACTGAGAGACCTCATCCTCACTCACCCTAGACTAATTCTCCAAGCCACTAGGCTCCTCTGTCCAGTCAAGGCTGGCATGGGCCATAGCACAGAGAAGGAAGATGACCACACCCCAAACCCTGTCCTTCACCACACCGAGAGGAAAGAGGGGAACTAGGGCCTTCAGGCCAGTGCCTAGGGTATGGGAGCCGCACGATGCTCCAGCCCACAGAGATAGGCCTTGCACTGTCACCTTCCGAAGATATCTTGCTCCCTCTCTCTCCCAGAAAGAGACAAGGCCAGCCATCCATCCCTAAAGTCCAACACGGGCACCTCCGAACATGAGCCGAGAGGGCTCTGAGCCTGAGCCAAACTCGGAGCAGAAATGTGAGGGTCCAGAAGAGGGGCTGAAGCCAGGCAGGAAGTTTGGTCTCTCCAGATGTCTCTGGGTGGCTGGGCCACCTGACATCACCAACTGAGGCAGGAGTGGCTGTGTAGGAGGCCGGGTACAGGGGGAGGGAACTCCTACCCCCGCCCAGGCCTTGGAGCATTTGAAAGGCAAATGTGCTGGGTTGCCTAGGGAACGGGAGAAAAGGGACTTCCCTAGCACCGGTGACTAGTAAGGGATGGAGACGAGGAGCTGTGATGCTGAGAAAATTGTTTCCAAAAAAAAGTAAAAAGCGGTGACTAAGCAGGCCTGGTTATGTAAAGCGATCCCTGAGGAAGTGTGGGGAAAAGCCTGGAACCCACCCCCGTGTCCCTCCTCCCCACTCCCAGTCCCAAGCCTGCCTCCTCGGGGAGTTTCCACCGGCCCAGCCCCCTCCCATTCTCCCGGAACTCCCTACTCCTCCACAGGACTGCTAGGAGGAGGGTCCTCCAGCTCTCTGCCAAGGGCACCCCAATAAGGTGGGGAGCACACAGCACAGACCAGGGGCTGCTCCATCCTGGCCTCAAAGGTGGACCCTGACAACTGTGGGGTCTCTGCTCGGAGCATGGTGCCTAGGGTGTGCACAACATGGGGAGAAAGGATTTTCCCTGTTCTGAAACCGAGGCCCATCCACTGGGAAAAGAGAGTTCCAGATGGGAACCTTGACACTAGTCCTTGTCAAGTGTGCGGCCCTGGAGAACTGACCTAGCCAGGACAGTGTCTGTGCCCACAAGACTGTGGGGGTAATTCACTTAGACAACTGTGCCCACGCAGTTGCAGGCAGAGGGTGACATGTGGGAGGCCCTCGCCCTGTGCAAGTTCCCTTCCCTCTTAGCCAGAAGGAGCCCTGGAGATCCTGAGACTAGTGTGAGACTCTCTTGGGCCTGGAGTCTACCCATCACTGAAGTCTGCCTACATTCTCAAACCCCAAAACCCACTTTGCCTAGTGAGCATGAGGCAGGGTGAGCCTAGGCCTTTAGGCCTCAAAATTCGCAACCCAGGGATCATTTACCAGAAGGTTCCTCTTGAGAGCAGCCCAAGAGAACCACAGAACCTCACCAGAATGATGAGATCTTGTCACTGAAAAACCTCATCTGCGGTTCAGGCAGCATGGCCTGTGCCACAAGCTTTCTGTTCTCCCTGCTGTGTGCCCTGTGACCAGGGATGTCTGTCCTTAGTGAGCTTGACCGAGGCCTGAATGAAACTGACCCATCACCTACCCTCAAATGAAAAAGGAAGATACTGGGGAGTCTGTTCCGTCCCAACAGGCCCTCTTCACCACCAGTCTTCTCTCTCGAGGGTCTGTTTGTCCCGTGTGACCTTTTACTCTCTGATTCTTCTCATTTGTCCTCCTTGGAAAGAAATATCACACAAAAGAAGAGCTAATTGCCTTTTGTATGCTCACGCTTCATAAGCCCAGTATACAAAGAACACCATCACAAGGTGTTCAAGGCCTGCAACCCAGCGTCTTTCTAGAGGCCCCAGCGATGCGAAAGGAGACCCTCTGTTTCTTTCTTTCTTTTTTTTAAAGCTCCATTCCCTGCATTTCTCTTGCACTTACACTTAAAACAGTCCTCTAGGTCCAAGGGACAGACTGGCCCTCCCTCACAGCAGAGGCCACCGGAGAGGTGCAGAGATACCCCACCCCTTCCTCCATCCTGGCCCAGCCTAGGCCCAAATCTAGCTTCTCCCAAGCCCAGTCGAACCCTCTGGACTTTCTTCCTGGATCCTTAGTGCCACCTGCATTTGCCATTGAATTCAAAGACTCAGCTGAGCATCTTCTCTCCAGACTTGGCTTTCCTGGCCCCTCCCAGCGGGAAGCGGAGGGCTGGGGACACAATAGAAGTAAGAGAAGGGAATTTGCCTGCCTGATGCTTCCCAGGAGAAGATGCCCAGTTTCCTGAGAACTGTACCTGTTGATAGATGGGGGGTGAGGAAGCCACGGACCAGCCCCAACTCTCTCCCTGTATAACGGGGGCAGAGGTTACTTGTAATCTGGGACTTAGATCCTCCCTGAGACCCTGAGAGCTCTGCCTGGTGGCTTTCACAGCATCCAGAAACCCCACCCCCACCCCTGGTCTTGGAGCCACAGCCCGAGCTTCACTGGCAACCTTTGACAAGTCACTTCTTTGCACCTCAGATGAAGAAGCCACACATAGAGGCTGGCTCAGGGTTGTGCAGAGAATGAGGGCCTGGGAGGACATCAGGGTCCTCAGAAGACACTGCGTCTAAACACAGGGTTCCTTGTTCCTGTCTGGGGCAGGGTCCTTCCGTGGGGAGTCTGCATCTCAAGCTCTCCTCTTAGCACAATGGCCCACACTCGTGGGGAGCTGGGGAGCAAAGAGGCAGCTGACTCCAAAGGAAACCCCGTCCTCCACCTCCCCCGCCTCCCATCCCACCTTCCCACCACCTACTCCCCAGAGGCTCATAATTGGTGTTGTGAGGATTAGTCACTGAGCCAGCACAGAACTGCCACCCCCACAGCCCAGACCCCCCACATAGGCAGACTGGCTTAATTGGAGTTCCTCACACCTCCGAGGACAGCCTGCCTGCCAGGGATGACAGGAGTCAGGGCCTGTGGGGGGCAGGGGCACACTGGCCAAGGACTTGGCCTTCCCCAAAATGGTTCCCTCCAGATGTCCCCAACAAAGCACTACATGGCCTTCAGATGGCCATGTAGGGCAGGAAGAAAAGGCCAGGGCAGGCTGTCCCTTCAACCCAAGGGACCCTTTTAAGAATAAGTCCAGGACACATGCAGGGAAGAGAGCTTAAAAGGAAACAGAGACCTTGGTGCCTAGCTCGAAACCAGACAGAACTTCCAGAACCTTCTCAGAGGCTGGCTGGAAGAGCTCTGCTCAGGCCTGTTCGGCTCGGTAGAAAGGGTAGTCTCACCCTGGTTCCCTACAGTGGTGGATTCTTTGCCCTTCCAGAGCCACAGAGGAGGAAAAGCATGAACAATAGGGGGCAGGTGGACACAGCTGGTACGCAGCGGCTGCCACCATACGCAGGACACCTGCTGCAAGCCCACAACAGCCAAGGCACATGGCAATATCTACAATATGCATGTTCCTGCGTGCGCCCCCATAACTGCCCCTGCTGGAAGCTGAGTGGGGTGCTGTGAGGAGGCAGAGCCCAGGTTCAGAGGTCAGCTCCCTGATTTGGCTGTTGGGGGAAGTTGGGGACATTGACTCTGAGAGGAGTCCCCGGGGAGCAGCACAGGTGATACAAACACCTGTCATGGAGCTCAGGTAGATTCAGAACAAGTAGAGAGCCAGGTATAGCTGGCTTCCAGCTCTAGGGTACAGGAGCCAGCCTCCAGTCCAAGCCCAGGGGCCACAGGAGAAAAGAAAGTGCCAGTGGTAGCCATTGTCTGGTGGTGCTGCAGTCTCCGGGTTGTCCCCTCCTGTGGGGGGACTGTCCCACCACAAGTTCCGTGGGGTAGTGATCCTGGAAGGGGACATAGAATGGGGGACACAGCTGGCAGACAGAGCCAGGCTGCAATGTCTCCCTGAGGACTTGGAAGTCAGAGAGGGAACAGCACCGCTTTCCCCACACCCCCAGCTGCCGGCACAGCTCCCCAGCCTTGTGTGTCTAATTGGATTCCCTCTGCCTCCTACAAGGTTATCCTGCATGCCAGGAAAACACCTCATGGTCGGATTCTCTCCTCCCTCTCAAGAGGAAGGCTGGGGGCTTGGAGCAGCTCTGCCATTCACAACATTCCCTCACCCTAGCCGCCCCCAGCTCCAGAGTGACAGGAGTGCTGCATGTGGAGGAGCTTGAGAAGGGTGGGAACCAGGGACTGAGCCACCTGCTGCCTTCGGCTGTCACAGGGAGACCCTGTCAGATGGGACCCTGCAGCAGCAGGGGCCCCCCTGTCTCCTCCAGGGCCCAGGGGCCGATCCTGGGGCCTGTGTCTTCTCTAGTGTGCATAGATCTGAAGCCAAGAAGGATGCCACCGGCCACATATTCCCCGCTGGCCACTTCACTTCCTGCCATACAGCACAACTCCCACCTGCAGCCTAAGTCTCCCCCCCTGCCCGCACCCAGGGCAGTGCAGACATAGCTGCCCTTTCTAATGGCATTCCCCATGGCAACCTGCCACCCAGGTGCTCCCCAGCTTCCTGGTTGGGCTCAGGGAAACACCTCAGCGCTGGACTGCCCACACTCTTCTAGGCTCAAAGCCCAGTTCTATTCAAGGGGCCTGTGAACCCAATCTTAGGCAGCAGAAAGAAGCAGTCGCTTCCTCCTGCTGAGAGACGTCTCTTCTAGTGTACTCCTAGAGGCCAGTGTTGGTGTCATCTGTAAGACTTACACAGCTCCTAATGTCCCAGGTTCCCAAAGCAAGAAGTGGGAAGGGTAACAAGAAGGCAAGGTGACACAGTCCCTATGCCTCACGGTCAACACAGCATCCTTGACATCCACCGAGGACAACCCTAGCCAAGCCCAAGGCAAGGAACCAGGCTGTGTCTGAATATAGCCCTTGTCTTTTTTCTGCAAACCCCACATAATGGGCCTGCAGGGTTCCCTCCTCAAAAAATGGACTTGTTACTGTTCGATCCTCACAAAGCAGAGATCCTTCTCCCTCCCCAAATTCTCCTCCTTTTTCTCCTCTTCTGATCGCCTCCACCTCCACCCCAGCTCTCTCCTCTAAAAGTCACCATCTTCCTGTTGAAAGAGGAGGGGTAAGAGAGAAAGAGGATACAGTAGTTGGGGAGGAAACTTGGAGTCCTATCTTTTTGACATTGAATGCAAAACTCCAGAAGAGCCTCTGCAGGGCAAGGGCCACATCCTATCATACACTGCAGAGTCTTCTTCTCAGTGCTAGGAGCCATGCCGGATTTCTATCCTGTAAATGTCAGAGATGCCACAGAGGGAGGAGCAGGAGGAGGATGGAGAAGTAAAGGAGAGGTAGAAAAGGGGGGAGGTAGGGAATCAGGGAGGGTGAGGCAGGGGGTGATTCTTCCCCAGCTGCTCACCAGCTGGCCCTGGCCCATGTCCAGGCAACCACTTGCTCTGTAACACTTTCCCTTGAGACCCCACTGTGGTGCCCCCTTGTGCCCAGAACCCATCCCATGTCTCCCTAGGACTGCCCTCCTTGGGCCCCTCACTAGCTGCCATGACCATGCCCCCATGCCACCCTAGCAAGTGGCATGAAGCAGGCTCTCCTTGAGGTTTCTCTGAGCCAGTGGCATTGACTGGCATTGACTTACTCAACTAGCATCTTGGATTCTCTAATTTAGAAAAAAGAGCCAACCGACCATTCCCCCTCTATCTATCCAGTTATCATTAAGTGACTACATTTTAAGCGGTCAGGAAGTAAGCAGTGGAGTTAGAGGTGGAGTGGGATCTGTTTGGAGCTAGGGAGAGAAATACCATCCAAAATCAGTAAAGGCACAGGGGACTCCACAGAGGAGAAACTAGTGGATGGAGGAGCCAGAAGGTGGCATGAACACCTGGAGGAAGGACCAGTGACAACCAAAGTGCCCCACCCATAGAAACCTCCCAGATAACCACAGGAGCTGTCAAAAGTCTATCTGTGTCTACCAGCTGCAACACAGACTGGCCCTTGTGACCTGGGGAGCCTTCATGTTTTCTACCAAATCCCACCTATGAGTAAAAAGGGAGATGAAGGGAAGGCAAAGGGTTTGTAATGGCTCCTGTACCCCTAAGACACTGAACATGTGAGCCCCAGCCTTGCCGTTTCAGGATTCCATCTTGTGACTAAACCACTGGCCCCAGGTAAGACTTTCAGGCATAGAGGGAAGAAAGGCAACGGTTTCAGGAGGTCCCTAGCAGAGGTACAGAAATGATATCCAACCTGGAAGCATGGGCACAGACCTCATGTGTATCAAAGACCTCCCACCTTGTCCCAGAGGAAGCCCAGACCACCCTGGCCATCCCCGGGGGGCACAGATGGCCCAGAGGAGCTCACTGCCACAGCCTCTAGAATGGGAAACCCTCCCCTCTAAGAGCCAAGGAGTCAGGCAATCCTTCCTGCCCACTCAGAGATTCCGGAAGCCCTTCCAGCCGGGGAACCCGCCTCCCCAACCTCTCTCTCACTTCCTCTGTCTGTCTCCTTCTCGCCACTCCTGCGAGTGCACAGGAGGGCTGAGGGAAGCCCCGTGAGCCTGTGATGAACGGAGCTAATTTCTGGTTTGCTGGTATGCCGCAGAGGCGCTGCCTCCGTCCCCCTCCCTCCCAGCAAACCCTCTCCCACACACAGACAAATAGGCTGCATATTTAATTGGAATTCCTCACACCTACAGGGTAAAGCCTTGTCAGTAGAAATAGAGCCCACAGCCAGCTGGCTTCCCCCATTCCACCCACCTTGTCTCTTAAAAAGAAATCCCCCCCCCCATACGTGAACACCACCCACAGGCCCTTGCACATCCCTCCCAGCATGGTTGTAAAGGAGGGATTGGTTGGCAGAGCTGCTCCTTGCCTGGGCTGCTACAGCTGGGCCCACCCAACAGAGACCACCCAGGGGCTTCTGCCTGGCAGACAGGCCCTGGAGGCCTTTTCTTTGCCCATTTTGGGAATTCCCTTGCCAAAACTCTCAGGGCTCCAGGGTCCCTGATGGACACTGCCAAGAGATGCAGGCTGCTTGGGTATAAAGGAACAGGTGGGTAGACAGGAGAAGGAGAGGAGGGCCCTCAATCTAGACTATTACCTTCAAAGGGGCCTTAGTGTCCATCTCCTTGGTACAGGTGGGACACCAAGGTCAGAGAGACAAAGAAAAAGGGTTAGGGCTGCAGACCTGGGCTGGACCTTGGTCGTGGTTCCAAGAATGCCACTGTGCCTTTGCCCTGTGTATCTCTCCCTGAATGCAGAGGGGAGGAATACACAGAAGATGTAGGACCAAGGGAGAAGAGGCTACCTGGGAAGGCTCAGAAGTAAAAGGATCCAGAGGGCACGAGAAGGACCTATTAGGAGTCCTGTGGGGGAAAGTCAGATGGGTCTGTTCCCGTATGGCAACATAGGAGCTCTAAGGGGACAAGCTAGGACAACAGAAGGCAAAGAGGGTGACAGGCCTCAAGGGTGCCTGCCCAGGAAACATACTCTGGGCCAGAGAGACAGAGAGGGCTAGCTGCTCCTCAGGAGGTGCCCTCTTGAGGTGACCTTGACATTCAGGGTTAGCGGGCTCAGCCAGGTTTGCAGGGACCCTGGTGGCCCACAAGTGATTCCTGTCTTTCTGCCTTTCTCTCTGCGGATCTTCTTCCTTCTCTGGCTGTGACTGTGCCTGGCACAGGCCCACACCA